ATGACGCGTAAGAGCTTCCTGATGGCTTTGCGGACATGAAAGTAGCAAAGCACAACGTTGTAGCCGAACACGACTCTTGCTGCATGCATTTACGCCGCCAACTTGTCCATTACAAAGATTTTAACCGAATAAGCTTTGCCCGTCATTTTTTTGAATAATCCGAACAGTTTACGCATGGGATCAAACTGCTCGCTCTCTACGAATGCACACAACCGGATGCCCGGTTCCCATGCCATCAGTTATCAAGAAGGTGTACAGTTTATATCTAAATGCCGAATGTGAAATGCTTTAAAAAACTCACCCAGCGCGATTTGTTGCATGCGTTCCGTCTACATTCACCACATCTGGAAAGCGTCGGAACAACGCCAACTGCTGCCATAGGGAGAAGCATATATGGCTATAGTGACTTTCCTCTGACTGGCACACAAGGACGCGTCCGGTCTTCCGAAGTTTTGCCAGGACCGAAGGCATTTCCTCCGCCACATTCAAGCCCAAATATGCGGCACCTACCCAACATAGCCGGTAGACACTTCCGGTGGTAATTGTATGTCTTGAGTGGTAAGAATCTTTCCGAATTCATCCGCTACAAACTGCCGCACACCAGATGACTGCGTTTCATATTTCAGAAGGGTCTTGCGGTGCCCAACCCATCTTCAGTTACACATCGATTAACTGGAAGTCGGTCGTACAGAAACTTTGACAATTTGTAATTGTGCTCGAGAAAATAAGAGGCCGTTGCCAGTTGGTTCCTTTTCCACTTTAGACAAAACCGCACTGGACAGCTGGTGCTTCGCGTACTTTTGTATTATAAAACACTCTTGGTGCACTAACTTTTTCGGATTCGCCGGCTACCCGATGGTCTTGGATGAACGCACAAAAGCACAAAGTTATCCTTCATTTATTGATTTAAGGACTTCTCAAATGCTGTGAAGGATGGAAACGATGAACCCACAAATTTCTCAAAGAACGATTTTGAAGCCACTTCCGAAGCCATAGCACACGAAGTTCAAAGCCGAATGTACGCCAATGAATTTCAAGAGATCTAATAAAATAAATCGCAAAAGAGTGACGGATGATGAGAGTGATTTTTGGACTGAGGACATGTGCAAAGAAGTGCAGCATTTTGACGTTAATGTTTTTATTTGACCCAAAGGGGTTTTGCAGAAAAATGCATTGTGCGTCGAAGGCGTGGCATGCCACCAAGAAAAGTTTGAGATAGTTGTTAAAAAATAGACTTTGACCGATTATGGAATTTGCGAAGGCTCGAAAGGAATACATGACGGATAACCGAGGTATTCACCCGCGTATTATAATAATCCCATATATTTAAATAGCACACTTTGTTTTTCCGGGGTTGATTTGGTGGCCGGTTTCGTACGTTTCATTGTCGCATTTTCTAATTACGGCGGTTAGGCGCTTTACGAAAAGCTAGCTCGTCTTCTGCGCCACCGTTGATTACCTTTTGGGAAAAAATTAGGACCTTTTTCAGAAGAAGCTAAATCCTTTTAGACAGCCTTTTGTCCATACCGTTGTGCGCTGGTCTTTCGGGATGAACATCGAGTCAGCCTGATGGATTTTCTAGACACTGGTCTCGGTTTTCCTTGTACACAGATGCTACTCATTTCTGGAAGTCTGCACGCCGGAGATTCCGAACTTATTCCTGTGGTTCCGAATTTCTGACTCAGTAGCGTATAAAATCAAACGTCAGCACATAGTGGTCGCTATGCCGCAGTGAGGCTTTAATGAGTACTGAGTCAATGAAATGTCTTTCGTCGTTGTTACCGAGTCCAGCTAAGGTGGTATTCAGCCTGTGCGGCATTTAGGGATGCGATGACAGGTTGAGTCCAAGCGTTCCGTGGAACGACTTTGGTCGGCGCCGATGGAAAATGTTTTTTAGAATCAATAGTTGAAGTTCCATCTAGCAGGTCTTTGGAGCATTATCATCACCCACAACAAGAGATGTGATCTATTGCTTGCTTGCTAGTCTGGTAAACAGCAAACCAAATGCGCGGCGTTTTAGGCAAGCCACGCAGCAAAATGTGCTGCTGTGTTCACAGAGGGCACCTGTGATCAATCCACGGATAATGCATGACAAATACTAACTTCCTGATAGCTCTGCAAACGTGTAAATAGCCCACATTTCATCGCAGGACGCCCCCACATGTGCGGCCCGTTTGTTCATGATGAACGTCTTCATTTAATCCTGTCTTCTCATCATACCTTAAAATGAGCGTAGGGGGAACTGTTAGTTTGCACAAAGGCTTACGTAACCAGACGTCCAGCACTCATGCCATCTGTGACCAGAAAGGCGTAATGCTTTTGTTTAAAAAAGCTTACACAATGGGGCTCGTCACTTGTGCTCTATCGACATTTGCCACATCCGGGAAGTGTCGGAGCAGTTTTATTCGCTGGCATATGGAGACTCATGAACAACCTTAGTAACCTTCCCCGACTGCAGCACAAGCACAAGCCCCAACTAGCAAGGCTGTGTCAGGATTGAAGACATATCATCTACCAAATTAACTACCAACCATCCCTTGATCACTCACTCCGGCGTTAGCCGTACATGTCATCAGTGCTGAGGACCCTTCCGAATTCATCGGCTACAAACTGCCACACTTTAGACGACGGCGCTCCATACTTAAGCAGCGTATTGCAGGTGCACAACTCCTCTTCCGTTGGCCGTCGATTAGGCGGAAGTCGATCGCACAATAACATGAAAATCTCGGGATTGTGTTTAAGATAATAAGAGGTGGCTGCGCCTGGGTTCCCCTGTCTCATTTGCCAAAAGGCATTGGTCAGCGGATACATCGCGTACAGTTCCTTAAGAGCACATTCACTCAGGGTGCCAGCTTCTTCAGATTCCCTAGCTTTTCGTTGGTTTTACTGGCCGCCTGCCACATTTGCAGTACACCCACTGGTGACGCAAAACAGAGATTGTGCTTTGGTTGCTAGCTGCACGGTCAAGTATTACATGATTATCCTTCATTTATTCTTTTACAGCTCTCCCAAATCGTGTGAGAAGTATAAACTTGCGGGTGTCGATTTCCCAAAAACTATCCTGAACGGTTTCTGCACTCGGTGCTGCAACACTAAAATTGAGTGCGCGCCGACAATCAGGAAGTGTGGTTGATTGAAACGCATTCCAAGAAATCTGGCAGATTATGGCAGGTTTTAGCCTTCAGGGAGCCAAGTGACAGTTTCTTCTTATAAGTTAACGTTTCGGCCACGAAGGTTCTGGAAGGACAGTATCTACCGGCTGAGAATAAGCCTATCTTTCATATAAGTTACGCACCCTCCAGAGAATGCTCGTTCCCCATATGCATGCGTAGCCACGTAAGTCGCCATCGGACACATACCATCATTCAACATTAACTTCGCTCATCGCCTTTAAAACCGGTCAGTGTTGCCTCATTACATCAGTTGAAAATTGTAATAATTTTAAAGGCCTCCCATTTCCGGCTGCAGTCTCACTAATGCCCTATTACCTTCTAGCTGGCCTTTTTGATATTCTCCTAATTTGAGCACCTCATCTAGAAATGGCTGTTACCACCTCGTTTGGATGGAGTCAATGAACCACCATGCGCATTCAGTTGGCCAAAGAATATCCTTTGTCCACGCTGGTCTCAATTTCTCAAGACTTCCAAGCCAACCCCAGCTATCTCGACAGCCTCAGCTGAACCACCTAAGGTGTTCATGTACAGGGCTGTCTCTGAACCCAAGTCCGACTTCACGATGACAGTACCGCGACTGCCATACCCATTCCGATGGCTTGCCCGTAGTTCACTCTATCGGTAGTATTTCCAGACCCAGCATGTCACATGCGACAACAAGACCACTTCAGTCCGTCAGAACTCCACAGCACTGGCCATCTTATTGTACTGTCTAATCGAGCTTCCAACGAATATGCTGATTTTTTCCAGAGCGCTATCAAGAGCTCGGAATACCGGCGTTCACAAAACCGTACTGCGAGCCCGATTTAGCGTGTGCTGCCCATCATGGAAAATCCACCAAACTTAATTGCTGAGATGAAGTACTTGGCTGAGCCTGGCGGGAGGCCCGATGCCAAAACAGGAAACATTTTTCGCACAAATCGCGAATGGCTGCTCATTTTTGAGTTTGCGCGGATGGAGGCGACATCATTATTGCTAATGTATTCTTTCGAGATATTTCCAGATCTCATACAGGGGAGAACAGATGAAGGAACCAGTTTCTCCAGAGAGTCGTCCACACGGAGACAAGGCTAAGCAACTGCGGCCAATGAAAACTAATGTCGCATCCGAAGCAGACCTTTTGTAAACAAATTGTAGTAAAAGTGCTGCTGTTTGAGGGATATTTTATAGTTTCGAATAAATACCATCAAATTGTAAAGCACTATGCAGTAGCTCCCTACCTACAAGCTATGGTTTCGGAGAAATTCGCCGTATACTTGTACGGGTCGGCGTATCGGTTCGTGAACTCGTGACCTTCAGCTGACACGTGGTAACCAATCGGCTCCGTGATCTGCCGCCGGGCCTCTTTCCGAATCCTCTCCAGTTGCGATGGCACGAAAAGGTACGGCCAAGCTGGAAGAGTTGTTGCGACTAGAGAAAGACATTCAGTCTTACTGGGATTCGCAACGTTCATTTGTTGCTGATAAAAAGGATGAGAAAGGGTGAGTTTTGTGTGAAATTTCGGTCAATGTTCATAGAGTAGAAAAGTATTTTGTTACGTTTCCCTATCCGTATATGAACGGTAGGCTGCATTTGGGACACACGTTTTCCCTATTGAAGTGTGAAGTAAGCTAACTTCGGGGACATGTGTAAAGATTTTCAGTTCTCAATTGGCTTCGCGCGTCTGAAAGGCAAACAGACACTCTGGCCCTTCGGCTTACACTGCACGGGTACTCCTATCAGAGCCTCTGCAGATAAGCTAGTCAGGGAATGTGAGGAATACGGCTGTCCCCCTAAATTCCCAGCTGAGGATCTTGGGTCCGTTCGCGAAGTTTCAGAGTCCAAAGAGGTAAATAACACTTGTGTTCGTCTAACTTTCGTCATAGGTTGGGCAGGAATCAACCAAGAGCAAGAAAAGCAAGGCTTCTGCAAAATCCGGTGATGTGAAGTTTCAGTGGCAAATAATGGAGAGCCTCGGTATTGACCCTACTGAGATTCCCAGGTTCAGAGACCCCATGTATTGGTTGGAGTATTTTCCAGCGAGAACCATCTCTGATCTAAAGCGCCTTGGGATTAAAGTGAGTGAAACGTATTTTGTTTCTGCTATTGTTCCGTCTAACCAGGTCCTGGTTGCCCAGTGAATACTTTAGTATTCAGCCTTTGACTTGTGCCACTATCGGGCATCCGTTATCTCTTCCCATGGGATCGTCCCTCCATCCATAAGCCCATCCTAAACATGGAGCAGCCAACCAGATCGATATGCCATCATTGAAAAAATTCAGCGGACCGAGGCATTAACCTCTATCCTTTGTAGAAACGTTAGTAAGGGAGCATTCAAATCCTCCTTGGTTGCAACCCTGGCGATCGAGTGGACTGCGATGTCAGGATGGGACATTTTGTCTCACTGTTGTGGGCACTGAGTAGGTGTTGAGGACAAAACTGGGAAACATGTATCCATGGATGCAAATTTGTGCATACTGTAGTGGTTAGCGGCCCTACGAATACTCTAGTGAAAAGAACAGATTACTAATGTAAGTTAGATACAATGCCACAAGGAGAAAAATCCAAGTTAATCTTGACTCATAGTTACAACAGGAAATTCCGTATTCCGTTGAATCACCACACCAAGAGAGTTTTACCTTCCTGGTATCCCGAATCTCCGGTGGCCGCAATATTAAATTACAGGTGTGAATAGATGAGTCCAGTGTTTGTAGCTGAAATTTTCGTTCACGTTTAGAATTTGTAGCAGTCACAACAACAGTCACTTAACAGAAGTCCCAAAGCCACGTTGGACCCTAAAAGCAGGCGGTTGCGATTATCTTTCTGTGAAAAACTTTTGTACGGTAATGCGATCGATATTAGTAGGGAGGAAGATGATACCGAGCATGAAAAGTAGCAGTTTACAAGTGCTACAGAACTCCCCCTTAGAGCGTCAAATGGGTGAGCATGACGCTCGAAAAGAAATGTGTTACAATAGTTAGCTTTTGAAACGAGTAGGAAGTTTTCGATTTCGACCAGATCTTGGGAGTGAGGGTATATGTGTGGTTTTGATCGAAGGAGGGTTCGTATGGCCGTGTGATTATGTAACGGAGGGAGTTGTTTTATGCTCATCATTAGAAGTTGGTCGTACGTGGATGTAAGCAACTTTTAATCGATCGATGTTAACTGTGTCTTTGCGGCCGTTATGATCAATGACAAAAGTTTTGCCTTTCCGAGAAATGATTCTGAAAGACCCTTCGTATGGTGATTGTAAGGGCTTTCGGACCGCATCGACGTGCACAAAAACATATTCACATGTAGCAAGATCGGGATTTACCGGAGTGGGCATGGAGGTCTGTTGAGCCGGTGAAGGGCGGACATCACACATATATTGGCGAAGCGGGGAGGCGTAGTACTTAGGATCTGTTTCACCAGTGGTTGCAGAGTCGACGACCATTTCACCTGGAAGGCGTAAGGTATACCGAAGACGAGTTCGGAGGCTATGCAACCCAAGTCTTCTTTAACAGTATTACGTATACTGAGAAGAATGAGCGAGAGTCGTTCCGACCAGTGTGTGCTAGAGGAGGCGATCAGCGATGCCTTGAGTTGTGGACGGAAGCGTTCGACTATGCCGTTGGCAGCCGGATGGTATGCGGTTGTTCAGAAGTGATCCGTACCAAGTAACCGTTTGAGGTCGTGAAAGAGTGGTGATCTGAACAGTGGACACCGGTCAGTGTTAATGGTAGCAGGTACACTGAACGTAGCGATCCAGTTATCAACGAGGCTCAAGCAACATTTTCAGCAGGTGTATCGTTGATCGGAACGGCCATGCACTAGCGTGTGAAACGGCCGACACAAGTGTGTATATGTGTAAAACCTCTGAATGGTGGCAACAGTCCAATCAAGTCGATGTGGATATTTCGAAAGCGCGATTCAGGCAGCTGAAAAACGCCATTTGGAGAAATGGTGTGTCGGTGAATCTTGCTCTTCTGATAGTCGACACACTGCTTAGCCCATGTGCGAATCTCCTTTTGGCCAAACGTATCTTTGTGACACGAGTTTGGCAGTCTCCCACAGGCTTTGGGCGTCCTGTGGATACGTCACAAACAAATTTGAGAGACAAAAGGCTGGAAAAATCTGGAAATTCGGGTTCCATTTGTTGAGCGGATGCAACGGCTTGTAGATCGATGAGAGTCGTTGCAATATGGTTTGCTTCAATGCGAAAGAGGGCATCTGCAACGACGTTGTCCGAGCATTCAATGTAGCGTGTGTTACTTGTAAACTGCGCAACGAAATCTAAATGTCGGTTCTCTCTTGGTGAGTGTTTGTTTGGAGATGTTCTCAAGGCGAAAACGAGAGGTTTGTGGTCCGTATAGATGGTGAATTTTCTTCATTCGAGTATGTGTCGAAAATGTTTGACAGCTAAGTAGATCGCCAGGAACTCTACTACAGGTGCTCTAACGGGTTTGTGCAGGTTGAAGTTTGCGAGAGAAAAAACAGTGTTTGAGTGCTTTTGTTGACTACCTGTTGAAGAACTGTACCAACAGCGTTCTGTGATGCGTCCGCTCTTAGTATGTGACAATCAGAACTGGGATTCAAATGGCCGGGGGTGGTGAGTTTCAAAAGAGTGGTTTTGATGGCGTTGAAAGCAGTGACAGCTTCGTCAGTGAGTTGCAAGCGTTTGTTGTTTGCTTTGAGCAAGTCGATTAGCGGCGCTAGGATCTCTGAGCAACGTGGAATGAATCTGCCGTACCCAAAAATCGACGAATGCTTCGAGTTAATTGAGGTAGGGATAGTCCGAGTTAGCTGTGGTTTTATCCGGCAGCGGCCGGATTCCTTCGGAGTTAATATGATGGCCGAGGAAATCAAGCTTATCTGCTGCGAAGACACACTTATCTGGGTTGATAGTGATACCATATTGTTGGAAACGTTCGAAGACAGCTTGCAAGTGTAATCTTTGTTCTTCGATCGTTTTGCTTGCCACCAACACGTCGTCAATGTAAGCGAAAACGTCTAAACCACGCAGTACCTGATCTATGAAGCGTTGGGACGTTTGAGCAGCGTTTCGAAGACCGAAGGGCGTGCGTGTGAATTCGAATAGATCAAAGGGTGTAGTAATCGCAGTTTCGGGAATGTCGTTAGGGGCAACCGGTAATTAGTGATACGCTCGGACAAGGTTGATTTTGGAGAATACAGTTTTTCCCGTACTTGCAGTGCAGAACCGTGGATATGCGGTATTGGGTAGCGATCGGGGACTGTACGACAATTGAGCACTTGGTAGTCGCAGCACGGTCGCCAGTCACCAGTGGATTTCTTAGGGACCGAATGTAGAGGAGGAGCCTAACATGAATTTGAAGGCCGAATGATTCTGAGTTGCAGCATGTGGTCAAACTCGGCTTTGGCGATACGCAGCTTCTCAGGTTATAGTCGTCCAGAGCGAGAGTGAACTGGGAGTCCAGTGGTCGCTATGTGGTGCTCGAGTAAATGTGACGCACTCGAGACCGAATAGGACGGCTTAAGAAAACTGGAAAACTTTTTGATTAAATCGTCAAAAACCGGAATTTTTGAAACACGGGCGACGTGAATACCAAGTGGGTATGACGAGGCGTCGACCTGGGTTGATGGGACGGAAAGCGACGTCAAAGAATCCAGAAGCTTTTGCCGCTTGATATCGACGGCCAGGGAGAAGTTGGTCAGGAAATCCGCACCGATGATTGGAACATGAACGTCGGCGGTAGTGAAGATCCAGGGGAATGCACGGCGAAGACCCGCGTTGAGCGTCAGTGACCGAAGGTAGCTATGCGAGTGCCGTTAGCCGCCTGTAATTTCGTTAGCGGGTTAGATGCTACAATACGCAGGGCTCACTCGCAGGAGGTTCCTTGAGTTTTTAGAACGGACTTTGAGTTTGTCGTTTGTATCTGTAACTTTTAGAATGCGTTGGAGAACGAGTTAGAAGGGAGTCCGAGTTGTCGAGAACAAACAACGCGTTACTTGTCTATGAACATGTGTGTGAGCTGAAATGTACGTACGAAAAATTTGATCGAAAAATTTGATCAAAACAATAAGCAGTCAATCATGATGGTATCCTCGTAGTCTTTGTTTTTTGTTTGGTAGGGAATAAGAGGCCATACTGAAGAATAGGGTTTGAAGAATGGGTCTGAAGCTCCCAGAGGTCATTCTGGCGAAGGATTTTGAGATGTCACATTACTTGACGTGACAACACCGATCTCATCCTTATCTTCGACTCCTGTTTTGATAAGGAACCCCGGATGTGATCAGTTTAAACTGTGCACACCTCAGTTCGGGCCAAAATATTACTTCGGGATCCGATATTTAAACTAGGATGTGTTTCGGATGTACGGAACCCAAAGGCTGACTGATTCTGACCTGAAAGCCCATCCTTGGGATGCCTTGTCGTCGTGGTTGCTTTCGAACTTCGTTCGTCTGCCTTAAACTATGTATTTTACTTCATAGTTCCAGTGGTGTGGTTTTAACGTCCATGATGCACTTTGCCAACTGCCGTACCGTAGTTACTGAGTGACTAAAAATCCCCAACGCCATTTTGTCCAGCCATATGTTTTCCGGTCATATGTTGAAGACACGTAAGTAACCATTCTAGAAACCACGCTGGACTCGGATAGAAATCCTTATACATATCAGTCGCTACTGTAAAGCTTGCTTTCCTATGACTTTGGGTAGAGTGCTGTGCGCTTATTTATTTGGCTGAGACTTGTTTCACGCCAGCTAATATTAGTTCCACCGGACTGACTTCCTGTACCACCATCCGGAGAGAGACAGCTCGAGTCTAACGCCTGTTTTAGTTTTTGAGACGTTTCACGGATATATTCGGGTTCTATGGAGTGTCATTGGGTGGGGAAAGCAATCCTTCGGCATACCTTTCGGGTTTTATATAAGTGATGCCAGAGGATTGATTTTGGTATTGTCGTCGTGAATTGCCAGTTGCGGTGGTATTAAGGACGGCGTAGAAACTCCTGAACCATCCTTTTTCACTTCGTTTCGAATATACGATCTCTTATATTCTGCTTCGATGTGTTCCATACGACTCACGCAAGACTCGGGTGTTGCCTGTTTCATTTTTTGCTTCAGTTGCGAATTTTAATTTTCAGCTGGTAGTGATAGCTTCTCGCTCTACCTGAAGAACTGCTTCAGTAATGGGAGGGAGTGCCTGTAAGACGGAACGATGAGGCAGAATGAAAAACAGCTCGCTCTTCATTCCATTGGGTGTTATATGTGAGGCGAATTTCATATCATAGTTTCCCCCATAATCACTGGAATGCACCTTCTTGTTGCCAACAGATACAGCCGAAACAGGATTCCTGAGTATTCAGCAGGTGCGTGTCTAACACGTCTTGGAAATTCCCTCGGAACCAGCGTCAACGCTGTATTCCGCTATGATGTTTTAGTCATTCACTATCTAAGTGGATGGTGCAACATCGGAACGAACACGAGATTTTTTTTCGGGAAAGGTTCGTTTGCAGTCCTGTTTTGAGTTTAGAGAATAACCGGAGTTCATCGTCGAGTTCTCTAAGAATACTAACAATGATTACGGTGACGATCAATGGAAAGACTCATCTACCAAAGTTGTTGATCACACTGAAAGTCACGGAGGGAAAAAACAGGCTCAAAGTTTGTTATCTGAACGTTCGATCCTCTCCTACTTCGAACTGGAGAAAGAATAGCAGGCCAGCGGTACTCATGGATGGAGCATACACCACAGTGGTGAACACTTATTGTGTGTTTTTAATTTTAACGGTGATTGTGATGATGAAGGTGTCGGTGATATGGTCTACAGGGGAATAAAACGGGACAGCTTGCACTGATTCACTGTGTACTTGGGTGACTCTTCTTTCACGGTTGTTTTTCTGGATAAATGGGTTGACTAAACTGGACAGTTCGTGAGGAAAATCGGAGACTCCACCACCACCAAAATTGGTGTGTATCACGCTGGAAAATATTAAAATCTCGCAAAAAGTTCACTTAAAGTCGTTCGTTTCTCGAAAGAGATGAGTGTTAAGCACTGGTTCATCTTTGACACAGTGTGATGTCATTAGATGTTGCATAGCTGAGTGGTTAAGGCACTGGCTTACGGACCGGACGGTCCGTACCTCAGCACCTCGGCTGCTCCTGTCTAGGCTTGGACAACCTTTCAGTATCCCAGCCCTGGTGCCTTCACCTGTTGGAATGGCAGTTAGGTACACTTGAAGCATTTGATTTTTTTTACATAGCGGTAGTGATAATTGCGGGCGACATTTTCGTTTTGACGGGGGTGGTGTTACTCCTATTACATCATTATTTAGTCTGTGAAGTGGCATTAACCCTATGCGGCAGGCTTCTGACTAGAATGATGTTATCCGCAGGTGATTATCCATATTCTGATAAATAGACAGCTTCATCCATGCAGTTCGTTCCACGTGTCATAGGGTAATGCGGACTTTCATCATTTTACTCATGGCAAAGCTCTGTTTCCACTGTTGCGTTCACTCCTATGGGTTTATTCTTTAGGATTCTTGATCGTAAGAGTCGTGGGATGTCGAAGCTCTCGGAATCGTTTGACTCTGTGTTTTAAATGTTCAGCTCGTGCTCATACATTCTCACCTTCAGTTGTCTGTACGGTATCTGTTCGCCCTAAAGTACTAACATTCATCACGTAGACTTGCCAATTCGTCTTTCCATCGTGCCGGGTCGATACTGTTACCATACTCTTTATTGTCTCGATGATATTGTGTAGCTCGTATGGTTGTGCTCTCCCCCGATAACTGAATACAAACTGGATTGTCTTGTCTGCCTATGACACTAATTTGGCCGAGTTCAAGCCACATGTTCCAAGGAGCATGTGTAATTAAGTGTAAATCAGCTGGTACGATTGGTTGATAGGATGATGGCACACCTCTTGTTCGATTACGAGTTTGGGTGTGAGCCAATTAAAGTGGTGTAACAGTGTAATTGGAATTTAACAACCATTTGTAACGTGCGCATTATTGCTTTGACATGACTACCATCGTGGCAAGGTGCACTAATGAACGAAGGGCCATCGAATTGAAACCCGCTTACTGCTCTCAACAGCAGGTTGGACGAAAAATCAGAAATATCTTCGTATTTGTAACGTTTCATCTGCCAACCCAATTTCACCTATGTGCTTGTATCAACTCTGCTAGTTCTTTTGATGACGAACTGAGTGCCAGAGTCGGAAAAACCTCATCTGGTGGCGGCATGTTTTTAGATTGTCTTTGTAGAGAAGAACGTGCAATGCTGCAGACCGCCGCATGCTGTTTTAATAATGCTAAATTTAGCCGCGCTCGTGGGAGATAAAAAACGATCAGATTGCCTTTAACCACCGATGTCTACGCCGTGTTGTGCATTTTTGATGTGAGTACCTAATGCTGCTGAAGTCTATCGTCTTGTCGGTCAAGATTTTGTCCCGCAGGTGGTACCAACCTTTGTAGAATAGCCGTGAAACTTCGTGACTGTTAATTCTTATTGGGGATTGTCAACAGTGTGTATTTTACGAGTCTGTGGGATGATTCGAACCTGCGACTTGCTGGTCCATAGTTGAACACCGTCATTTGGTCACGGGTGGTTGATCAGCTGCGTGCACAGCTCACACTCAGACAGGATGCGGCACCACTCATCTTCCAATCACATGATTTGCTCTACTTGGTCACGTATCGACTGGCTCCCCGAGTGACGATTTCTCTGATGAAAGGCTCATGCGAATTGTGAGATTTTCTTTTTTTTAAGAGCTTAGATAAAAAAGCTTTCCATCACTTGGTGCCGTGGTTGGACTCTGAACAAAACAGTTAAACCACAAAATCATTTTTGCTCCTGTATTAATTCTTATTAAACTTCATTTCCGGCATTTCACCGCTGTCAAGCTTCAACCTCCCTTTGTGGTGACTGAGGGCTGGCAACTGAAACCACTGTTCTCTCCTGTACAATTCGCAGTTGAAAAACTGATTAGAATGACACAAATCTGATTTGGTGGCTAATGGGATGTATTGAAAATGTGACAGTGTAGCGAGGAGTACAAAGGAAAGACGCAGCACGAGTTCACGAAAACGGGCTATGTCGTCAAAACTAGTAACGATGCAATGATGGTATGCTGCATCCATTAGTACTCAACGAACTCGAGATTGGACGTTTAAACTGTCTTAATTCAGTCTACTATGGTGGGAGAAAAGCTGTGACGGACCATTGCAGTCGTTGGTGTGGAGCAACTTAATCAAGAGTTCTCTGGCTCGTCTTCCGGAATTTTTTCCACTGTTTACTCGGTTGACAGTCTTCGTTATATTCACCTAAAACTAGTGCAGCTCGAAACTGATAAGGTTTTGGGTTCATTCCTGGTCCTTTTGAAGAACTCAACCTCGGTTTTATTCCTTCGGTAGAGCCGTCTTGATTAAACGCGGGTACCATACTTGATTACTGGGGGTCTGTCATGACTTTTATCTTCGAATTTCGCGCAGCACCTGGATATCGCTTGGAATAATGGAAAACAAACTGGATTCAACAAGCTTCCAACTCACTTGGTTACACAACCTATTCTTTATACCATACATATCCCTCTGTGCGCGCAGTTATCATGGTGCGACCATATTGCTATACTCTGGCTACATCATTCGATACAGATGATTTGTTCAGAGCCAATCCCGCAGATTTTTAACAGCGACCTTGACCCAGTTGTTGCCTACGCCTTGCACGGTCGCCATCGTCGTCAGGAGCTGCACTACACCAGCAGTGGAAACTTGTGCCCAACTCTCATACAACCATGGGAGGAGGACTTTAGTAAGAAAAAAGGGGAGGATTGAGAACTTACTGCAAAAATCTCCGAGTCCCTAAGGAAAGCTGCCTAAGACGAGACGCCTAGACTTTCCGAAATCTTTGAACTAAATGTCTCAGCATCATGTTAGAACAAGGTGCTATCAGCGTCCCTTGTAAACCTCACTAAACACGAAACCAGCATGCAAAGACAAACAAGCATTAACTTGGATAAGGAGTGGCCGCTGACTCGCCACTTGGATCGGTGATGTGTCCGTCCTGTATCGTTTCTGACCTCCACATAGAGTCACGTGGATCTCATCCAGGAAGGCTCGAAGATCTAGTGCCTTCTACTTGGTAGTAGCTACTTTCATTTCCACTTGTCACTTCATGGCCTGTTTTCCGCTAACGATTTGGAGTTAAACTTGCTACTCTCCCTGATAGATGGTGGTCGCACGAGTACGTTGCTGGTCAAACGCAGTTTATCTTCTGTATCGTTTAATTGTGATATTCGACGTAGAAGTAGGGCTTGACTGAGGTGGTGATGGAATACAGCGGGGTTTCCATGAAGTGAGTTCTTGAGATCTCACAGACCATTGTGACCCTGGCTACCAAGCGTGAGTACGACGCCTCGGAAATCCTAATCGTCTTCTTTGCCGTTGTGGTATAGCCAGTAACAGGTTCTCGAGTCTGAACTGTTGATTCCGTTTGTGTCGTGTTTCAGGAAGGCGGGTCATATAGTGGAGAGCCATCTAGGTTTCGCATTGTAATACTGTAGCTTGCAACCTGCTGATAGGTTCAAGCTTTCTAACAGCCAGTACAATTAGGCTCTTTGTATTTCATGCTCACATCAGAATCCAAGTGCGCGCTTCGTAGATGAGCAATGTGCATCTCTCGGTACATTGTCGCCTAGTCCATAGAGAATAACTGGTAATCTGTGTATGACATTTTGATGATGACTTTTATTCGATGACGTTGAATGAGATCGTCAAAAGCAAATTAATGCACTGATGTAATGATATGATGGTCAATTCCCACCAGGTAGTGCGATTCCTCGAAGGCGGCATTGTGCTAGGAGAGGCGCTCATTGGTGAGATTGCGAGGGTTCCGAACAACAATAATTCGGATTCAACGGACGATTTAGCAAAATTTTCACTAGTGTCACGAACACTTGCCAACTGGACGAGCGAATAAATCGCTCAGGGTGGATGAGGATGTGAGATAAACTACTGAACATGGTAGACGGCCAATCAGGAAACATAAGGTGTCCGAGTGTTATTGTGAGCCCCTTTTTGCTGGCAGGAGGAACGTCTCGCGAACGTGTATCAGCGAATAAGTAGATACGGAGTTGTACGTACACCGGGGTGAGTGCGACTGAAAACAATCAAAGTCAAGGTTTTTCGGTCAGAACCTCTACTCTACACTAGAATAAACTTCATGTCTGAGTTGTCCCTTGACCTTCGTCATAATTCTCGCCTCAGTCGAGGTGACGTCGGTCACGAGGTGGAGGGGTGTGAAACATCAGCTTCATAGGTGTATGGCTTAGAGGGAACCGAGGCAAGCTAGCATGCAATCTGTCAACAGTGTTGTCTGAAGTATTTCAACTACCCGGGCAGTAAATCTATCTACTCACCTTGGCGGCATAACCATCTAGCTTTGCGAAGGTACGTCTTTATGAATGTGTTGGTGACGCTATTTTGATTAGTTAATGTATGTTGTATCTCGGTGGAATTCGAAGCGAGTAGTGGGAGCTCGACAGCATGCTCAACGTTCTGTGGAAGCGAAACGAGTGCAGATCCGTGCCTCTGCACTAGGTGAGGCGCGTAATATGTTTGAGCATGGTAGGGGAACCAGCAAGGAAACTAAACAAACCTTGCAATACAAATTGAAGAAAAGTGATTGGATAAGCACAGATTTAGTCTCAAGCCTCGCGGAAACCATCTCTATTTCAAGAAGGAAGTTTTCTTTCACTAACTGTCAACACTTTGGTCCAACCCACTTCGCGCCTTATCCTTACCTTTTCTGTTGCTGAATAGCCGTGCTGTACGTTGGGGTATGTCTTCATAGGGTTCCCAACCCTTTCAAGCAAAAAAATATTGGGGACAGGAAATCCCTGTATTGTCTTGGAGACACCCTTTTTTCAACACCAATTTTTTGGAGGATTACTGCAAAAAAGGCAGTTGATCACCGTCATTGAAGGTAGAGCGTCGAACTATCTAATTCGTGTGGTTCCACTTAGCTCCACTTAGTTCCACTTAGTTCTCTTCATGCTAAGAGGCTTTAAAGATTATACGGAAAAGCTGCCTACCCTGAATCTTAGTTAACACAGGAGGTTAGTTAGAGTGATGAGAAACGCGTAGACAATTACTTAGGTCGCTGTCGGAGACTACTAGTCGGCGAACCATCCACCTTGTATTGGTTCGCTGACACCGAATCGTTATGGGGCAAGTAGGATGATGTAGCATTATGGAATCGCCATATATCCATGCCGAGAGCATGTTCCGAACGCAAAATTTACGATCCTCGTCTCAAGGTATGGTGCACTATTTACGTAGTTGCCAGATTAATTGACAGTTTGCTGGTGAGGTGTTGTTATTGATCAAAACTCGGAAACCCTGACTAACAGACTGGCAATGAACAATCAGTTTAGGCATGCCATCTACTTCATAAACCATTTTATTGCATTGGTTTACCGAGTTCACAGCATGAGCTTGAGGGAAATGGTTCTTCATTCCCACCGTTGCTTTTTACTTTATTCTGCTCAGACCTTTGTGACACTGTATTATAGCGGCTCGACCATCTGTCGTCTGGTAGCCTTGCCTTGGAGTGGTGCAAAAATGATTCCATTGCTCTTTCTTTTGTTCAGTATGTCCTGCCCTACATACATGTGTTTATATACGATTAAAGTTTAGCAATGAAAGTTATAAGTGACCTCCGGGCGAAAGCTTATTGGCTTTAGGTTTGAGTTTCATGCCCATTTCTACATCCTTCTCACTGTAGTACGTTTATATTAACCGAGGTTACAATACCTAGTGTTTTAGCATCGGGGTGAAAGCTAGTTACCTGAATGTCTTCGGTTAGGATTCGCTCCTAACCTGTTGACCTCATAAGCCGAACTTGACCGCATCGCTTCCTCCAGTTTGACAACGCTGTGACACGTGAGTGGTGTGATTTTTCTTGTAAACCTGTCAACCTTTACGGAATCGCCTGGTGGTCGAAATATTCGGAAGGATTGGGCCAACTCCACAACTCTAGCTTAGGGCGCTCTCAGAATTTGTGGACTGCTCTGAATGACCTACGTATCATATCGATCTTTATCCTGCCCAAGCGCTGCTGACCTTACTGGCCTTCATATGACTTGCTAATTAAGGCTCATCGTCCGTAGTTCGAACTCATTTTCAGCTTCCTGAGTGTTTCTGTCCAGGTCTCTGCAAACTTTTTGTAGCTCAGCCCTCGTGCCTTCCTCGGAGTGTGTGACGGAAACGTAAGGTTATCACAGCTGAATTATTTGATTTTGACCAGGTTGACTCTTTTTTGGTATCACATGGGGCAATTTATTCCGGGTCTCTGAATTTTTCCCTCAGGTGGATTGGCGTCGTTCGTTTGTGACAACCGAGATCAACCCGTTCTATGATTCCTTCGTGCGTTGGCAATATCTTCGCCTGAGAAAGCTCGGAAAGGTACAGTACGGAAAACGGTACACGATATTCTCTCCAAAAGATAATCAACCTTGCATGGATCACGAAAGGAGCGTTGGAGAGGTAGGCTGAATCATGCGCAGGTTACTTATGTTTGTCATTCATTCTAGGGCGTTGGTCCTCAGGAGTACACTCTCATTAAACTGAAGCTAATCTCGGATCCACCTATTCAACTCAGGTACGTATTGTTTTTTTCGAAATCGCACTGAGGGGAATAATGGAGTTGTTTTACTCCTTTTTAGTCTTACGATTCTCTTTAAAGAGTTATTTCGGGACATTCTAGGGGGTTTGATACTGATGAACTTCTCAGTACAACCATTCTTTATCCAGTAAGATGTCTGCAACGTTGGACTGAAAAATACCGCCTCAGTTGTAACAGGAAGTGATGTCGTGTTCTATTTTTGACTCCGAGACTTGCATACAGATGACTTCCATACGGTGTCCTCATTGAAGTAGCTGAGCAACTTCAAGTGGTGAGGTCAGGTGCGGTGACGACGCTTTCGAAATCATGGCGTTCCGTTGTGGGTCTGAAATCAGGATCCGACTAAGTTTTCGAGGCAGGTTACTGGCAATCTTTCAGGCTAGTTATTACATTCCTTTTTACCCATCTTTTCAGTGCAATCTCCAGCACGCGAGGACAGCTAACTGGGGTTACTCTACATATGATGCGTGAATAGCAAATCTTTTGTGAGCATCTTGAGAAAGAGGGATTACAGGGTTTGGCCGCTACCTACTACCATAATCTTGAACCATGTCTCAGTGGGCTTCGTCTCCGGCAAACTGTAGATACAAAACTCTTCCAAATCTTGGGTTCTTTTTTCTTTCCCCGTCAATAGTTTTCATGTCTACAAAGTCTCTAAAAAGTTCCGCCTAAATTTTAACGATGACATCATAGAAGTGTCTAAAATACAGTTGAGATTTCCTGTTAAGCCTTTGTCCAACTGTGGTGTCTGGCGGCACGTATCCAATGAGAAGCAGGACTATCAGTCCACCAAAACTTGAGCCAATTTTCCTATCAGCAAGTCTCTCGGACTCCGCGTTATTTAGGATTGGTGGGGCTCGTTATTCTTTCGAATAGTTTATCTTGTTTCACCAACAAAAACTCGGACGTGTTCTCCCTATTCATACCTCAACTACTTGCGTCGTGCTATTCAGGGCCCAGTACTGGTTCTTTGAATCAGTTACTCATATGAAGCTTAAGATCTCGTAATGGACTGGCGACTATGTTATGTAAATTCAGTTGTTTAGCGTCCGAAGGGACACTACAGATGCAGAAGTTGTAAAAAAGAGTGACTGTGTTATATACCGTATTGTCTGTGGAAGTCGGTTAGAGTCATTTTTTTTGTCTTTATCCGCTTCTGTTGAACATTTGATACATAGACGAACGTTGCTCGTCACGTTCATTGGCTGGATGGATTATTATTTTCGATTTCTTATCATTTTCGATTTCGTACTCCAGAATTCGAGAACCACGATTTCGGGTATCTATTTGTTTGGTTTTAGCTCGATTATCATTGGGTTACTAAAATACTTATCTGTGTGAACTGTGTTGTCGGCCGTTCTGAGCTTAAATTTCCTCCCATATAGTTGGTCCACAGTGGAATTGCGTAGAGCAGTGCTCAGCTTTCAGATTGGGGGATTTGAACTGATTCACCGCACTCACTGAACAGCACACGTGCTCGGCTGCCATCACTCTTCACTCGCACTTGATCATGCTGGACTGCGTTGATTCGGAGCTCGAAGTGCTAGATTTATGCACCAATTTACCAGCTCGCGCGTGCAATGCGCGAACGAAACTGTGGCAGCTACAACCAGTGTACGACCAGTACGCGGTTCTTACAGCTGGCAGTGATGATGATGATGAGTGCTGGCGCGGATGAATTCTATGTATTCCGAGTCAGTTGTGGATATGATTCCATCCAGAATATCCGCATTAGACTTCGGATAAGTTAACAAGATGAAAGAACCACTTAGTTAAGGGTGTCTCCTTCTTTACGGTCTGCCTTGCTACTGGATGGCTGATAAGAGGACGATTTATCCATAGAACTCTTTTTCCATTCATATTTTTCTTTTTACGAACCGCGCCACTCTATATTCCAGCTCAATCGACCGCATGAAAGAGCCCATTTATCTCACCGCAGCAACGTTGCGTCCGGAAACAATGTACGGTCAAACCAACTGTTGGCTTCATCCCGATATTGACTATGTTGCCGTTCGCTCCGTCCGCGCCTCTTGCATTCTCATCTGCACCGAGCGCGCTGCTACCAATATGGCGTTCCAAGTTAGTTCTCGCACCAACCTAATGAGTCAAGTGACTAATTCAACTTAATCTCGACCTAACTGTTTGTTGCGCCGAATTTCTAAACCTATTCCGCACGTAGGATTATACGGACTACTGTCATAGCTATTCTTTACACGCCATGGTAGGCAAGTGACCACCAGCATAAACCTGGACTGTCTACACATTACGCTTTGTGTGAACCCAGCCACAAGAGCATGTTTTCGTTCGATCACGTGATAGCTACTCTGAAATGCTCGATACATCCAACGTGGGAAACTCGAGTGGGTAGTTAGAACCACTGTTCGGCAAGTACGCGGTTTTTACAGCTGATGATGATGAACAGCTGCAACCGTTTCTGGCTGTTTAGCTGAACACGTGCAAGCTTCGTTTCATTTCGTCCCCTGCCTGGCCTAGACACGTAAAAATGTTACATTTCGATTAGGCTTCGTGATTCTGTCTTGCGGGGTTACCAGGCAATACAGGACCTAAATGAGACTGGTACTCTACGGGCCGATAATACTATCGACCAGTGGTGATGCGAACTTGAAAACCGCCTTCCAGCCTTCAGTAGAAGTTTCCACTACCCAGTTCGTAATACTGCAATTTTAAACAGTTGCTGATTCCGATCATTCACGGGCGAGTATGTTTGAACATCCAATGAGTTATACACAGCGGCAAATAATGTCAATAGTCCAATGAAAACCCATGATTCCCCAATAATAAGCTGAGACCGAAAGAAAACATTTGACAGACGGAAACCGGTAGATGCACACACTTTGCATGGGCTCAGCAAATCAGCAATACGAAAAATCTGCTATACACTGATTTGTCCATAAAAAGGAACGATGTACATATTAAGTCCAGGGTGACCTAAGTGCTGCATGGAGTTTCCTTTGGATACAATGAAGGCTTGAGTCGGCCTTCAGGGGATTTGAGAACACGTGGGTTCTGATGACCAAACAAAACGTTGAGGCAGTCTGCGACCAAAATGTACCTGTGAATTGCTGTTTACGCCAGCGTACGACCAGGCGATGGTCCCGAATTTCGACCCCTTATTGTGTCTCAGACCCAAAGGGGAACGTGCTCTTTTCTGACATTGAGGCACCTATGCAGGTTTCTCCGCAGTTATGTGTTAAAGGCTGTGACAATCTTTGAGTCATGATCAGAATCCAGACCTCAATAGCTCTATACGTCTTTTCGGGGGCGAGATGGCCCAAGGGGCTAGAGGGCGAATTTACTGACCGGAAGGTTCGTGGTTCCAATCCGACCTCCGCCACTCGACTTCCCCTGTCTAGGCTTGGGCAACCTGGCAGTATCCTAGCCCTCGTGCTTCCTTCGGGTGGCATGGCAGCTAGGCACCGGAAGAGTGTTACAGCTGAACGCTTTCTTCTTTCATACGTCTTTTCTGCGCTGACACTGGACGTTCTGTTGTCCGAGCTATATAATTACGCTCTTTTTGGATACAGTGTCACAGTTAGAAGGTTTTGATCTCACTTGACTGTCATTTAATGAGATGTTCAGGATGCCCATTTTTCACAGGGTGTTTTTGAGCAGTTCTGGTCCAGGTTCATTCGAATCTGGCGCGCTCCAAAAGGCTTAAGCTTTGGAGATACTACGTCGACTACACGGGTTTTCCATAAACACCAAGTTTAGCAGATCCGTTGGGCCTACGCGTGACGGTTGTGTGTAATTACGAGAGGCGGTCACTAGTTCACGTCTCGTAAGTTACTGTGAGATTCGGGTGAATGTTATTGAGACTTTGGAAAAACTTCATGAAAATGGTCGATGAGTCGCCGACTTCGCTCTCATAATATATTAGCTTTGAATGAGACTGTTCAACTGTGGCATAGTCATAACCATGAAAACGTTTGCCTGAGGCAGCCTCAGTGAAATACCCATGTGTACGACGTCAGTGTCTCTGTATGGATTTCGAAGCTTACGCCCTCCTCTTGAGAGCCGCTGGAATGGCGAGCTGAATCTCCTCCGAGCTAATCAAGCCATCTAGAATACCGAGTTTCATGCAAGGAACGCTGATAGCCAACGACTATGTCCACTGGGCACATATTTTCCCTACGGTTCCGGATACTCAACTTTGATGGTGTCAGTTTTCCGAACAATATGCTTCGGCGAGTTGGGTTAGTTTGCGTGCTATCGAGAGTTCATAGTACTCAGTCTCTCCGTGTTAAAGAAGCAGCTCAATTTCGTTCTGCTACTCTGCCAACAGACTCTTCCTTGTCCAATGACTGAAACTTTCGACTATCGTTTAGTACTTTATTCCCTTAATCATGTCAGTCTGATGTCCATGACCACAGCACCAGGACATTTGTTGGACTTGAGAGTGAAGATTTGAACTCTCTCGTAGTACAACAAAATGCAACAAATGCACACACAGTACGTCATCGCCCCCTCCGACCTTACCACTGCCGTGGACGTAGAACTTTGACTGAAGTAGCTTCGGTTAGTAGTTCACGCAGTGGTGGATACATGTCCATCGGCGTGCGACGATACTCTATACTGCAGTACACAATTGTTGCTTTTTCACCAGACTCATTCGAAGTCACCGGTCCACATTCTTTTGCCTTGTGAATCACTTGGAGAATATCCTTTTGGAACCGTTCATCTTTCATCCTCTTTATACAGAAAGTTCCTATTCATATCTCTGCATATCTCTGTGTCACATTTGCTCTCGCTCCCAGGGTATTTTGCATCCGAATGAACCGGGTCGCGTTGATATTGTGGCTCGAATGAAGGGTGCTGATTTGTTCGGTATGAAAGTGGAAGCCCCGCTTTCACTGTACACTGATGGCGTTTACGTGCTGCCTATGCTTTCAATACGTCCAAACAAAGGTACGGGTGTCGTGACCAGCGTGCCCAGTGATGCTCCGGATGACTGGGCAGCTTTGCGTGACTTGCGGAAGAAACAGGTAAGTTTTTGTGGATTGGATGAGCTGCTAATGAGCCGTATTAATAACTGATCATTCTGAAAGATCACTCTCCACATCCTCTACTCCTATATAATCACTATATTATTATTATTATATTGTTCATTTATACATGTCTGATACTTTGGTCTCATAACCTTTTTCCAGGCACTGCGTGAGAAATATGGAATAAGGGACGATATGGTCATGCCGTTCGATCCAGTAAGTGGATTACCAAACAATAGGTCATACTTTAGGTGGAAATCATCGCAACTCCTGGTTTGGGAAACATGGCTGCAGTCACCATTGTTGACCAGATGAAAATCCAGAGTCAAAACGACACAGACAAATTACAGGAGGCGAAAGAAAAGGTCTATCGAGCCGGATTCTACGATGGCGTAAGAGACACCTTGGCGCTAGTATTGCTAATGCATATCTTTTTAGGTTATGCTAGTTGGTGATCACAAAGGCTCCAAAGTCCAGTCAGTCAAGAAAGAGGTTCAGTCGGACATGGTGGATAAGGTTTGTGCTGTTCTCTTTTGACGTGTATGGGCCTCATTATTATATATTGGATCGTCTGTTTGCATGGTTTGCTGCAGCAACTGCCTTCTTGTAGTAGCACATAGGGAGTACGCAATAACTCCTCAAGAATGGCCACTCCGGTGATAGAAATCATTCTATCTATTTGGTGGATCATGATCTACGTCCTTACTGATGAAAAGTGTGGTTATGGGCTATCCGAGAATGATTTATCTTTTCAGTCCAGTCTGCCAGCGATTTAGTTATGTACTGTGCCAGGGGGTTTTCGCTCAGGGTAGCTGGACACATACAAACAACTCACAAGATCACACGAGGCATTGACGGAGTCTGGAGCGATCGATACTTATGAGAACTGGGACGTTTCTACAAGTCCTCACGGTTAATGATGGCATATGCCGGAGCTAGGCTGCAATAAAGCTATGGAAACTGAGCCTGAAATGAGGTTGAAGAGAAACTAAAGGTGGCTTTTTATTGCAAAAAAGCCATATGCTCTTAGAGAAACCGGCCAAGCGCGCGACGTGTACACCTTCAGACGGCATCTGAACGTTTTTTGGAGTAAAACGAGATCAACTAGAACGCCCTCCGGCATTCTTACAATCAGTACTCTCCACTGTCAACACAACTAGATGCCCAATTTAGCTAAGCATTCTGGTTAACAACGTTGGAGTCGTTTACGCGCCGTGTCCCGTAAAGTTTCTAGCCATGCCAAATAAGCTGCTACCAATAGAGAGCTCAGTTTGAGATGAGGAATTCTCATTTTTAGCGTTACCATAGCGTCCTTTCACGAATATTTCGTCAATAAGGATTCAAGGCGTAAATCTGAGCTTTTTGTAGACCGTGCTTGGGAATGCTTAGGGCTTACAATGTGCCTTCTCTCGGCTATCACACATGTGTCCGGTCCCTCCGTTTCTAGTCCTTTTTTCTCTGGTTGATGTCCTCAGAAAAATGTGTGGCATTTCAACCTCTGGTACGGTAGTCCTACTTTAGGAAGAACCTATCAATCACCCAGAATATGCAGACGATGTGGTCCTGCTTTGCGACCGCCCCTTTTCCGCTTAGTTACTACCGATAAATCGATGATTTCAGGGGTTGGAAGGTAAGTGTATTTGTAGTCGGCTGTCCCAACGATGGCTCATTTCTTAGCCCCTTGACAAATTCTACCGACTATCCTAAAGTACTCATTCCAGTTTTACCCTTACTTGCTTTGAGGTAGTTTGCTGCAATCGCTTATTCCAAAACAGGGTCAAGCACTTATCTATTACGAACCGGAACGTACCGTCATCTCCCGAAGCGGTGATGAGGCCGTCGTTGCTCTGTGTGATCAGTGGTACTTAGACTATGGCGAAGAGGACTGGAAAGCTGTTACGCAAAAGGCCCTGGACCAACTGTCGGTGACTGATGAGGTAAGTTGCGTACTATATATGTAGTTAAACTGTGAGTTCCTTTTACACCATAACTTTAATACTGGGGTTGCACTTTCTCTGTTTCGGAATACGTTAGACATTGAGTAACAAGAGAGAAAATGGGTCGATCCGTCAGGCCAAGGAATTGTTACGACTGGTGACTTGTTGGTAGGATACTAAATAGTCCATGTGTGATCGGTTCAGAAAATCGTTTTTATTCAGGTTACAAAGCCTGATAACGTTTTTCAGTAGTTGATCATAGCATTTGTGACATTTCTTACACTCATGGAGACTACATCCGTGCGCCGATAGATCACAATCATACCCCGAACTGCACTAGGGGCAGTGACCGTCCGCATCTGTTTCTGATTACTCCTTTTAGGGAATCAAACGTTCTCGTAATTCTTTTGCTTTCTTTCAGGTACGAAGAGGTTTTCAAGCCACCTTGGAATGGCTTCATGAGCATGCCTGTTCTCGTACTTATGGGCTTGGGACTCGTCTGCCGTGGGATGATAAATGGCTGATCGAGTCGTTATCGGATTCTACAATCTACATGGCTTACTACACAGTTGCGCACTTTCTTCAAGAAGGTTGTCTGGATGGCAGAAAGGTCGGCCCATTAGGAATCAGGTACGCCTTGATGAAAGATTGTGATAGCCTTTCTGTTCTAGATTCGCATTTCCAGGCTCCCCACTGCCGTGCTTCAGGCTTACCTTTTGCTGACGTTCTTGTTACTTATATCTTCATAAACGAGTGATGAATACTCGGTGTTTTTCTATTATCATTATTTTTATTATTATTCATTGAAAGATGGCTGGTTGTGGGTTTGTTGTCGGACTGGCTTCTGGCCACAATTTGTATTTTCTACCGAGATTTCACGATACAAAGAGTCAGAGGAGTTCCATTCTTGTAGACATTTATCACCAAAGTTCTGCTGTAGCGTGAGATATGCTTTCTCAAAATTCAATCTTCTCCTAGAAAAAGCTGTACGTGTAGGAGCCAATTTTCCGTTTTTCTCCGGTTCTCATATTACTGAACTCACCTGAGTTGCAGTCGAGACGTAAAACATGAATCACATGAGATCATTTACGAGCAGACTGTTCCAATTGTCTTTCTAGGTACACTATTTTCTACCCTTCCTTTTTAATATTTCAGGCCGGAGCATATGACCCCCGAGGTCTGGGACTATGTTTTCCTTGGAAAAGGCGAGCCGGCAAAAATCATTGCCGGACAACCCAGGTCATCACTAACCATTTCCAGTCTGAAGAAGCTGCGAGATGAATTCCTCTTTTGGTATCCAGTAGACATGCGATCTAGCGGAAAGGATTTAATCCCCAATCATCTCACCTATTTCCTCTATAACCATACGGCCATTTGGCCCAACCAGCCGAACTTATGGCCTAGGTCCGTTCTAGCCAATGGGCATCTGCTTTTGAATTCTGCAAAGGTTAGTCTGCTAAATGTTTCTGGATGTTCCACAAGCATTCACTGTTCATTCACTCTATGGTTCTTGTTAGCTAGCTGCTGAGAAGTCGTTGTCAGAAAAGTATATGGATACTTCGCTTATATAATAACTTAGCTCTCGATTCCCCCAGTAACCTCCCGCATGACCTACTCCACGCAGTAGTGAAAGAACTGTCAACTGAAAATTTTGTCCACTTTCAGCTCGCAAGCACATAACGGTCTAAGCCAACCATAGATATCTAGCCTGTGGATTTATCTAAAACGGGAACATTGTGTGGTGCTTCAGGACTCAGCACACACGTCTGCTTCACTGACATTAATAAAAGAATTGTTTCGCCTTCTGGCTTTCTTAGAATTCTTGGTAGGTTTATGTTGCCACGAGGTAACCTCGAACGTGGATACACTGAAGCAACATGAACCATAGTGCATTTCCTCAACAACCTACTTGAAGCTTATCCAAAGAGAATACATTACTAACTTACGGCAGTGAAGCACCAGTGCCAACACTGATGTTGCTGTTCTTCATGATATTGATAACTGAAACGACTGCCGACTTTCGTACCGACTGTTTAACACCAATTGGATGAATATCACGACTTGTGTACTGTCCACTACTTTGTGTTTGTTGTAGATGTCCAAATCAACTGGGAACTTCCTAACTCTGGCGGATGCGATTGAAAAGTATTCTGCTGACGGTAAGTCCACTTGGCACTTCAGTATTTCAGAATGAACTTTCCATCAGCTGAAGCTTGCGTGAGAGTTCCGATCTTATTGAACTTTTGTGTGCACAAAATGAGCAACCTTACGGGTGGTGTGTTCCGCTGATCGCTGCTGTATACGTTCCATGCTTTTTCACTGTGTTTCCGTGAAGTTAACTCAATCCATTCTAAGGGCATTTTGAAAATGTCCCTAATTTGGCCATTCACTGGACCCAGTCTTAGAAAGTGTGTCAAATTTTTGAACCTTATTTCGAAGTAAGATTGAGCCGATTTAATGGCCGAAAACTTGTTCAGTGACCGGTGTTCCCAGGGTAGCGCCGCGGGCGCCTCTGTACGTACCGAATCACTCACTGACTCAATCGAACACTCATTGAGGGCGCTGCGTAGACACACGGGCAATCCTCTTTTCCATACACCTCCGTGCAGGTGTACTAGATCGGCGAAGAGTTCATGATCACTACGGTTGAGGCGATGACGCAACCACTTTAATCGATCGAGGACTATTTGTAATTATTAGTAGCAGACACACGGGATTGTGTGTTGTGTTCGCGGAAGTCGATCGACAAGGACTTGCTTCACCCAGTTTATCAGTGAACATCCATGGGCTTTCACTAGATTACAAGCAGTATTGTTGCATGCTTCATTAAATGGTTAAATATGTTCACTGGCGGTCGCCCCACTATCTGATTGGTTGTGCAACACTTGGTGTCGGTCTCTGGATTTCCAGAAGCTGATTGTCTTGAAGTGTTCCGTGTGACCTGGTTATGTTGCATTGTGAGCCAAACGGCGTTCCTTATCAGAGTTGATTGTACGTTGGTTTAAACACAAGCAAAATCGGTCGGCCGTGCGGTTAGTTTCCGTCTTGTATCAACTAAGCTGACCGAAAGAATCGTTTGATTATTCAGCCAACTCAGCATCAAAGCACGAACACTCTATTACATAAGCTTTACTTGTTCGTGGTGGTTCAGTCGTTGATTTATTCGCTGACCCGGGCGTTTTCACCTGCTTCTTAAAGGTGTGCTGATGGTGTCAACTCCGTTGGTGCTGAAGCAACCAAACTGCCCGGCTCAGTGAACAAACTGACGGAAGTCTATGCTGCTTCATGTCATTTTGTGTTTGATCCATCTGCTGACAAATGGAAATGCACGCAGTTTTAGTTTTTTAGAACGCTCGCACGTGCAGCGAATAACGGTGTAAAGGCGTTGGCGCTCAGTTTCATGTGCAAAATGACAAAATTATTTAAGCGGACTGTTTGTAAAATAACCGCCCGGATTCTCAGTTCCAGAAGTCCTTCCATTTACCCGGTCTTCCATGGAACCGCTAAAATCATCGAAGACACTATAAGCTGGCTGATTTTCACATGCTTCTGATTACAGCCTTCGTGGTGACGCGCCAACAGCAAAGGCGTGCGGTTTAAATTCTGTGCTAGACCCTGTGACGTGCATCTAACAATTTCGGTTCAAACTGATTATAATGTAGTGGACAAAAATCCTTAGGTCAAGTTCAGTTTACATCCATCGGTGAATCCAGCGATTTGCTCCCAAAGTTTCTCGAAATTATCGCACCTGTCACGGGCAGTCTGTTGGTAGACAAGTGAGAAGCTAACTGGGTCAGGTCGATCGTTTGATACTTTCAATTCTGCATGGGTTTAGGCTTTGTCGGTTTTCACCTCCTTGCAGGGTATGCGTACTAGAAGTCAGCTTGGTCGTGTGATGGCTACAATTACCGTTACAATACCTATTTGTGTCCTTTAGTAGGAAATACTTTGTCACGGGAGATGGAAAAGACGACCAGTACAGTGATTCCTCAAAAGAAACCGGGTTCCAAGTTTTTTAACAATCACGTACCGTCCACCCGACCCTTTCCTTTTTGCTAGCTCGTTTTCTTGACCATGACTCTGACTTCACTCTTACCACACCAACGTTGCATTTTCTGGTCTGAATGAACTTTAGCTCAAAGGCTGCTGATAGCTCGCTTATATTAGTTGGTTATGGCGGACCCGTACACGGGGGGGGGGGGGGGGGCAGCGGAGGCTTTTTGTAACTGTAAATTAGTTTTTTCCGGACAAAAATTGTAATCGACCTATCATCTCAACATTCAGCCGAAATTGAATGAGGCGGAATGATTCGGGGACACGAAATGTGTTGCTCAAGTTTGTTAGCGATTCAGTACTCGCTTCTGAGACTGTCTGGCAGATCGTCCGTGGTATGTCCTATAGTATTGTAACATCCTCAGAGGCCTCTGCAGCTGCCAGCGCATGCCGTGATCAGCTTCCTTTGATTCATGCAGCGTCCAATGGGAAAAACCATTGAAAGAACGATTTTTATGGGATCAAGCACGTGTGGATGGGGGACCGCGTGATCCTCACTGTGCCTGGTTGGAGACACTACAAAGTATGGCTGCCAACCGATGTCAGTGGCGTTCTTGTTGTCAGTTTCTATCCAGATTGCCTGAGTGAATGTCTGGAGGTGTAGGCACCTCGGAATGATTGTGGTAAGCTAGCACTAAGTCCCTCCCCCTTCCATCTTTACTCTTTTCTTTACAATAAGGCTTTCAAATAAGTCATGGTTGTACGGCAGTGAAGCATCGGTGTTGAACACTAACGTCATGCTGTCGATGATGATGATGATGGTGATGATGATATAAGTGGTAGGGGATGGAAAATTTCATAGGAATCCTTGACAAACGTCTTTTTGTGGGAGACTGTTTATCTTCTCTGAATATATGCATTAATGTTCGTCGAAACCGAACCGGTTTCTCAGTGTGTGTTTGTAGATGCCTGTTGCTGCTAAAGGTAGCTTTGACCAGGATTCCCCCGCTCGTGTTCACTTTGGTGCTTATTGTGCCTCAATTCCAGGTGTTCGACTAGCACTCGCGGATGCGGGCGACTCACTAGACGATGCAAATGTCAAAGAAGAGATGGCTGAAGCAGGTCTGCTCCGCCTGTATGGATTATTAGACTGGATCGGACAGACTTTAAAGGCGATGTCTGAGGACGGCGGGTCTGGCTATCGAACTGGACCGGAGCGCACACATGCGGATTTAGTTTTCAAAAAGTAAGTTCTGTGCATTGAACTTCGTTAGTTTGTTTCAGATTCAGGAGAACCCTGTGATATATTTTCCGTTGCCTTTCACTTTTCAAACAATCGAAGTGTTAAAAAAGCCCACCCACCCGATCTTGATAAGGAAAGTGCAATCTTCACGCAGCCTTAGGACAACTTGATAGGTAAGGCTTGGATACGTTTCAACCTACGAATTTTCTTCATAAAAGTCATCGAATAGGGCTGCTGCCGCTGGTTATCTGGTAAGCCAATTGTCCATTTTCATTGGCCGCTTGAAATGCCAACCTTATGTACAGTTTGGTTGGAAGGGTGCATAAAGGTAACCGCCTGATCGCAGTGTTTTGCGATTAACTAGATCGAATCTCGCCTGCGCGCTTTGCGGGCCAACCACAGGACAGTCTGCTGACACATTAGTACAGCTTCGACTCTTTCTATCAAATTGAGCTGATGATGATTGCAACAAGCTGAGTCAGAGGGAGAAAACTCGTGATTTCGAAGGTCGATATTTAGCCTGCTCCTGGCTTCCGGATTGGTTTTTGGAGGCCCAGACAACCTGCCGGAATCCAGTCGCCGGTGTGGTATATTTTGTTCTGTAGTATGGTTTCGTCACTTGATTACACTGAGCGGCATTAGTGAAGCTCGTTTTTAAGGGAATGGCGAATCAGACTGGTACTGAAGACTCCGCAGAGTTCCAACTACCTAGCAAGTTGGCAGTGTCCCGGTCCGCAAATTGTGGTGGCCTTGTCATATACTTTGCAAGTCGAGTGTTTTGTGCCGTCTGAAGTGGCTGATTCAATGATACATCCATGTAGAGATAGCCAACTTTCAGCTTGAATAGACATGGAACAATTGTGTAACCTTCAGATAGTGGCAGTACGATCCGCATTCCTCACGAATGGCTGCAATTGCTTTAGGACACAGCCGTCAGTCATTTTAGGTGGCCATCTTGTCCCCAGTTTCTATCAGTCGGGTTCGGCTCAGTTCAGTTTTTCAGCTCACAAGCAACACACCAAAGTGCAATGGTCCAAGATGTGACAGCTTCCCTCATCGAGAATCAGCGCACCAAGGGAATAAGAGCCATGCGTTGAAGGCGATAGCCCAATCTGTGCTTTGATGACAAATGGACCTGTTTGTCCAGAACGGCAGAATGTGAGAACTACGCAGCGCAGGCCGTAGCCGCCATGCAAGAACACCATTAGCTGCGTGACCGTCATATCTGTCGGGGTCACTATCTACTGGTTTGCTCGTCTCAGTTTCTACCCCCTCGCCGAGCTGCTTTTTCCGCAGTAAGGAATTCGAACAAACTCTTGTGTCTTCAGGTAGTGAAGCGCTGGTGTTCAACACTGGCCTCGCCGTTGTAGGTGATATACCGAAAGCTAACGCCCCATCTTTTGTTCTTTTTTACCTCGCTGCCCCGCTAGCATATCAACCACCTATTAAAAGAGCTCCTAGATGAAGACTTCTGGGCTAATGATTCCATCCTTGTTGCCTTCTTTTGCAGTGATATGGGGCGCACTGTTGAACTCGCTGAAAAGTTTTACACTGCCCATCAGTACAAAGAAGTTCTCAAGACAGTGTTTTATGAGTTTCAAGTAAGTGGTTTTATAGTTACTACCATTGATCACATTCGCTGTAGCTCTCACTAGTTCAGTGAACTCCCTTGTCCCCAGAAATAACATGCCTACGTATATCTGCGTAGGGCCAATGCTATTCTGTTTCTGCTTATGCATACCTAGTGGTCTAGCTTGATGTACAGTAATATATTGATGATTTACCAAACCCTCAACCAGTTCATTCAGTTCATTTCAATCAGTGAAAATCCCTGAAAAAGAATGCCTACGGTAATAGGGACGTCGGATTATGACACTATTCCACCATCTTGTTTAGACTTCGAAACCTCCATAGCTCATATTGCTTTTTTTAACTAGGCGCGGCGAGCGACGGACAGTTTGACGCAGCGCACTTAATCTGGTCAGGATAGTTTGTTTTATTGGCTATCTTACCGCCATTTCAGCATCCCGTATCCATCGTTACGTCGCACGTCCCCTAGACCTGTAATGATTGTCCTTCCATCACTGTTTTAACCCAAATTCCTCACTTGTTCATTTCAGGCTTGCCGAGACCGCTATCGAGAGGTTAGCCAAGGATCAGTCCACAGGGATCTGTTAAGCGAATATATTCTTCTCCAGACTGTACTGCTGAGTCCCATTTGCTCACATGTTTGCGAACACATCTGGCTGAATTTAATGCATAAAAAGCATTCGATTTTTCTCACATCATGGCCGAAAGTGTCCCAGCCTGTCGATCCGCTACTCACTCTACAAGGTACGCAAGATCTAATTCTGCGTCCATGGCGTTTTTTTTCGCACGGCATGTTTGTCTGTGATGCTATAGTTTGTTTTATTGGCTATCTTACCGCCATTTCAGCATCCCGTATCCATCGTTACGTCGCACGTCCCCTAGACCTGTAATGATTGTCCTTCCATCACTGTTTTAACCCAAATTCCTCACTTGTTCATTTCAGGCTTGCCGAGACCGCTATCGAGAGGTTAGCCAAGGATCAGTCCACAGGGATCTGTTAAGCGAATATATTCTTCTCCAGACTGTACTGCTGAGTCCCATTTGCTCACATGTTTGCGAACACATCTGGCTGAATTTAATGCATAAAAAGCATTCGATTTTTCTCACATCATGGCCGAAAGTGTCCCAGCCTGTCGATCCGCTACTCACTCTACAAGGTACGCAAGATCTAATTCTGCGTCCATGGCGTTTTTTTTCGCACGGCATGTTTGTCCTGTGATGCTACTTACTAAGTTCACTCTGTCAACTGGCTACATATGTGTTCTTTCAGGTCGCTATGTGGATGACGCAGCTCACCAGTTCCGTCTCCAGCTTGCGCAGCGACAGTCATTAAAGAACGCCAAGGCAACAAAAACGGAGAGCGGTGCAGCCGTCGACTCACAACTTCCACCTGAAGAAGCTACCGTGTGGGTGGTTAGGCAATACCCACCATGGCAAGTATGTCAGTGCTTCTGTCGATTTAGTTTATGCCATTCTTGAAAACCTTAACGAATGTTTTTTCTGCCAAAAAGCCTCATCTACTAATCGGGTCGAGTTGACTTTTATGCGGTGCAGACGGCTTTTGTGACAAGTCTCCAAATCATTGTTGGTCCAGAAGTTACTGAATCTCGGATACTGTTTTTTGGCTTGGTATTTTTCCATTTCCGCACGGCTAGTTAGATGTTTCATGACGAACCCTCACCCCCTCCCCGGCTAGGCGATTATTCTCTTTGTCGTGTACCTGCTATTTCAATTCAGCAGCGTTGCCGAAGCACTCTGAAGCCGATAAAGTGAGACCAGTTCTGAGGATACGTAGCTATTCTCATGCATGGTTCACATACTTTGATTTCTTGCGACTGGATGGAACATCCGCAACAGGATTACTCGTGACACATTGTGCTATGTAGCTTTACTGATGTACGTATTTTACGCAGACATCCGTCAATTTTCCCGTGAGCAGGCAGTTTCCACTCTGGTCAGAGATTTTCCGTCGAAGATACAATGGGACTAGTTTCTCAGGACTGTGTGTATACTGTGGCGCACAGAATACATCGCGGTGGGTGTGATTGTGTCACGATTTCTACAATTCAGTTTCTGAGTGTAATGTAACGTCCTCTCATTTTTCAACACCTCCGATTTTCACGTCTGTGCCGCTTAGATCCATTAGTACTTCAATGAATACGAAATTTCACACTTATCGCATAATTTTGGCTTCAGACTACCGGGTATATGTGATTGACGCTAGTGTACCACTCGTTTTCGATGCGAGTTTTGTTTCTTGTCTGTCGTATGTGTCCATCGACTTCAGCAGTGCTTTCTAGCAAGCTACCTGTAGTAGATATTCGTAAGTTTAAGTGTTCTCATGTGGGCTTTTGCAGGACTTGCCTTCACACACCGAACGTGCGGGTTTGTTAAGCACACAATAATGCCAGAAGTGACTTCCCACGCAGATCATCGTGACGGCTAGAACCGCGGCGCGTCATGCGGATGTCATTTTGACTTGGCTTAAGAGTGGCGCCGGTCACGGAATTGCTGGGACGCCAGACACCTTTGGGTTCGACCGCTTGGTTGTGCTCCCTTGGGTCGGTAAAGTGGCCCGGCTTACTACTAAGCTTTTTGGAGTGTTAAGCCCATACCAGCGTCAACCCACAGAACAAACTGTCTACCGTGTGTAATAAGCTGACGGTATGCTCGTCTCCGGGGTGTTGCTTCCAGATGATGTCCCCACGGCTGGTGACGAAGCGTTTGCAAGCAAATTGACAGGCTTGATGTCCAGATTGATTGCCACAACCGACTTCCCATACTTTAATATTTGGATTGACTTTATCACGACCGACTCCTGATGAACAAACTGTTCTGACTCATATAGCAGATACTTTTTATTGTGCTTACCACCTGTTCCCTTGGGTTACATAATGTCTGGATTCGACTGCACTTTCATCTACCCCGGAATTTTCCCCCGTATATCAGGCCATGATTCTAGCAATCATGAATTCCAACCTTTCCGAAGATGGAAAAACCTTGCCGGACAATGCGACGTTGGCACAGCTGCTACGACCACATCTGAAGGAAATGGGGAAGATGGCGAAACGGGCTATGCCCTTTGCACAGTTGGTGCGCGAGCGGTTTGAAGCACGCGGGCCCAGTGCCTTGAAACCAGAACTTGAGGTGGATGAACATGCAGTTTTACAGGCGAACAAAGCTTATTTGATTGCGACTCTCGGACTCCGCGCTCCGGATGGACTGACGGTAAGTAGACTACATAATGACCATTGTTTTCTATTGGATAACGTCTCTCCGGCAGCCACTAGACAAAGTACTGTATTTGGCGCAACCTGAGTGCATTTTAATTAGATGCACCGCTTTTAACCACTGCCTTTTTTAAGTTCAAGCCCATACAGCAAGAGAGTCATGTGTCCCACCAGTTATGCCAGAGGTTGACCACGGTCATTTAATGTTGGCTGCGCAGTCACTGCATATTACTTTTATTTTTATCCGTTCTTTTCATGATAAGAAACTACTGAACTTTCCATTTGAGTGCTTTTAATCTGTGGTCTTTTGTCACCCTAATAGGTACGATATGTTGACGAAACGGAGGACGCTCGGATCCTAGATCAGGTTTCTCCACTGAATCCCGTCATCATATTCCATGACCCACCGCCGTCTGTATCCATTAATTTCATCAACCCAGACATCGGATCTGGTTTGTTTTCTTTGTCTGGAGTCCCTGTATGTGATGGCGACTCACCTGCTGATTTGATCACTCGTCTGTTACGCGCCTGTCATGCTTCCATGCCTGCTTCTAAAGGTAAGTGTGAGCGTTTCAGTACAGTTTATCCGGATGCCATTAAGGCTACGGATACACTTCAGTTCATGTAGTCTGCTGGTAACAAGGTGCCGGCTTTTACTCGTTCATTTCAGGGCTAGGACTAGAACGAAGAGGTTTGTCGTCCATCTCTGGCATCATTTCACTAGAACAGATAACTAATGCTAGAACATGTTTCAAGATGCATGCACCCCACCATATTTTTTCGAACATCATATCTGCGCCACCCGTATACTGCGTTTCAGCAAGGCCAACGTAGAGACGAGTTGCTAACCTACACGCGGAGGAAGTTTTGTACACTTCACGTGTAGATCGGGGTTGTGTCCTTTACGGAAAATCGAATCGCGAGAAAGCACTTGTCTTTTACCGTCTCGGATCCTGGACAAGTGTCCGCGTTGGTACTCCCTGTGGCGGCTCGTCTCGTGTGATAGTGCAGTTACGTGGTAATTACCTTTTAAGCTACTTACCACTTTTATTACGACCATCACCCTAACACGACCGACTTTGTTTGCCCGTTCGAATAACAATACTATACTTTTGGCCTCAGGTTGAAGATTTTCGGGCTGCAGAGAAATGTGCTTAGCAATCACATCCAGTGCCAATTATTTACGAAGTATCTTATAGCTTTTCCTCTATCGTATTGCTTAGAATTAACTGTACAGGCCATTCTACAAAGCTGTTTTCCCACATCTAATAGACAAGTTATGAAGGACATGTTTGTTCAGTTTATCTTGACAATAAGCCGTTCCAGCCGGGCATCTCGAGCAATGCGGCGGCTTGATTGTGCAAGACAGTCGTAAAAGGCAGGATGCCATTCCGTTCGTCTCGTTGTTAATAACTCCCAGCAAGGTTGAAACAACTGTACAACGCTCCTTGGCTTTCTAACGTGGGTTAACTTTGTCTGCTGAATTGTGCGGTGAACAGACGAACGGACAGAGATTATTGGAATTAACAACAGTACGAGCATGCCCAAGAAATCGAACCACTGTATCTCAACTGTTGGTTGACTTGTCAAGTAGCAGCTCCCGTGGTCATGAGACAAGGTTTGAATAAACCATAATTATCACATCCCATCATTATATTCTGTTGTGACCGCAGCTCCCGTTTGTTGTTTTACCTCTTCGTTCAGGACTTCAAGACGTTGTTCTCTTCAGACTCGCCAACCCAGATTCTGACGCTTTCCGGATACCACCGTATCCTTCCGAGTGCCTGAAACCCATCGAACCGTCGGATAGATTCATGGTTGATCCAAAAACGTCATCGGTTATGCTCAATGTATCCGGGACATCCGTTTCTGTTGGGGACCGCTTGATCTATCGAGGCGTGCATTGTATGTCAAATGGTTACTGATGAGTGTGATACTCCGTGTATATGACAGTGATGCTCGCATGTGCAAAATACACTTTTGTGAATAGTGCGGAGGTCTGTCAGAGTTCTCGTGGTCCTGTTTGAATTCGCCTGGGTTTTGATTGAGGTGGCAAGTTACTCAAATTTATCGTGACCCCCCAGGTAGCCTGCTTCTAGTTATCAGTGATTCTCTTGGATATAGGTAGAACCTGGTAACACCACAGACACGGAGCATACAAATTCGTTGTTACAAACTGACCAGCCCTTGCCGGTTTAGTCCTTTCCTTAACTTCTGGGATCGACGATTTGACGTTTGCTGATGCGATTCTAGATGGTATCTTGTCTCTCGATCCGTTACTTTAATGAAGTACTGAGTCGCTGATCTTTTGTACTTAGTAGCGCGAGGATTGATCGTTGTGACCATCAATAACAGCAATACGGCGATAGTACATACTAATGCTTAACTGCTATACAAGCCTGAGAGAAGGAGGCCTTATACAAGATTGGAAAGAACAGGAAAGGGTTGGGAGTTAGCACGAAAAAGCCGTATTTCCCTGAAAAGAACGATCAAGAATAAGGTGTCTGTGCAGTTGGATACTAGTACAATAAACATTAGAGCATCATGTCGAACTAAGGCGTCATCAGCGAGATTGATCCAAATTTCTTTGCGACAAAGAACCTTACAAAAGCCCAGTGCACAATAACAGGTGAACTTTAGCGTTACAGTCCGGTAAGGGAATGACAAAATGCGCACCGCTGGGATCGGTTGCGTCCCACGCCCTATAGGGTTCCCAATCATGTGGGTCCCAGCTACAAAGGTGTGAAGATCCCACAGCATTGTTTGACCGCGTAGGCTTTCGTTTCATGTTGCTATGTCATAGCTTATCCCCAGCGAGCCGTTCGCCAACAATCGGTTGGAACGGAAAACAACGCTTTCTTCGTAGGCTGTGGCTGGTATGCTCAATCTGTTGCGCGTGAATTAGGTTCGTTTCGGTTTACCGGATCCGCTGTACCTCTGTAAATTCCCTCGCGTGTCATTGTGACTCTATACGTTAAGGCTAATATTTTCCAAATTAAATTCGCGACCGTCTTGATTGTTTTAGTAGTTGCTGAGTCGTTGCGTCTTCGGATAAAATTGCTTCAGTATCAATTGTTTCTGATTGCTCTTTTGACTCAGATCGGAAAGCAGTTTGGTAAACACCGTGCCAATTTGTAATCCAGAACTTGTGTTCGTACTGTTCAACTTCCACCTCACTTGCGGTGTTGCACGACCATTATTCCTTTTTTTTCTGGCAAAATGTGGTTGGCGGTAGATGATCTGCCATCGCCTCTTTTTAAAAAAACTGTGACTTGTCGCTGTGTGACGTTTGATATACCCTAGTGACGCACTGCATTCTAATCGACAGCTTCACAGGGTTCCTCCTGGCAAGTTGGTCATAGTCTTCTGGCTCACAGAACCGGCATTGGAACAGTTGTAGCTTTTGGGCCGTCAATGGTATCGAACCATCCCTCACTGCGTTTTTATAAGGATTTTAGGCCACGTGTCCCGTTTGGGGACCCCCAGATATCAGCACCCTGGTAGTATCCGTGCCAGCATACAGCCAATGGAACATAATCTCATTCTGCATAGACTATGGCTTGGTGCCATCGTCCGAATCGCCCCAGAACGGCGATCGGCTGCCAGGTCTGCACAAATTGCGACCCGGTAACGGTCTGTGTGGGTCATATGGAGACAGATATGCTTTGTCAATCGTGGCCTACGCACCCAGGTTTTTAGTTGGCGCCAACATTTGGCTTTGTGATTTCTGCATCACTCTTGCGCAACAGATACCCAAGCGTTTGCGGACACCGTAGTTGAAGAAGTCCAGACAGGCGTAGTCGATCGCGCTACTTTTCTGATCTTGTGATTGGACATCCGGGGAAAGCAACCTCACTGTACATCGAAGAGCAAAAACCGCAAACTCACGGATATTCATTTGGGCGAAGAAGCTTCATCTGACAAGGTAGTTCACTTCGGTTTTTCAGTTGTTAACCGTATACCAATGCAGTACTTCTATCTATCGCCGAGAATAGGAATAAGAAAACGACAGCGCGCGTTAGAGGCTCTGTTATGTTTGTCTACTTTTGCCGAACAATGAAGTCAACAGCATTGATGCAGGAGCACTGTTTTCTGCGTTAGAATCACCGGCGCAACCGGTTCGACTAGTACGGGTTTCCACGCTTTGCTGCCAAGCCATAAACCGACCGCTGCTGAGTCCTCTTCCTCGGCGCACGAAACGCATCGCCTAACCAGCGCAACCTACGGTGTGTGACCACCTGATATATTGATGGAGAGTTACCCCTCCGGCCTACCTCTGCATTACTAATCTGGTGTTCCCAACAGACGCCCGCAATGCTTCTGAAGCACAGACAATCGAACCCTTTTCTAAATCTGCATACAATGACCACGTCTCTGATCGAAGTGATCCCAGTCAGGGCGAAGCATAGTTTGATTCGTACTAATCTGGTCCTCCGGGTGCAGGATAACACCAAAAACAAACTGGAAGCCCCGCTAATCTTCCAGCCAGGCTTAGGGGTTCTTTTTGAATGTGGGAATCTGTTCGGGGGCCAGCCGTCCCTTATAACCGAACAGCACATCATTTGGACGGATGTGTCACGTGCAGGACACGGGCTAAACGAAGGTACGCACTGATTGGTCAGAATGCCAACCAATCCGAGTCAAGCACCTGTGACTCGACGCTTCTCGCCTCCTCACGGAGATTCTGGCGCGACCTTGTGGAACACACCGTGACTACCCTATAAATACAGTTGTACTAATTTTTTTTGTCTCCATAAAGGGCTGTGTAGAGTTACCGTGCCTTTTACTATACCATAGTGGGCGGAGCAGGAAGCCAAGGGACCGACACAGAGTTGCACGACCGTACATCAAGACATAACTGACGACAACCCGAAACCACGATGTCAATTTCGGCAGAGCAAATATGTGGTGAATGCTCTCCACGGTGGACGCAGGGTCGATTATGCCACATACGAGGCACACGTAAGATCATCAGCACAGCCGCGCCATGTGAACCAACTTCAGGCAACAGACTACGGCTCAGTGAGGGGACCACGTGGCATAAGACACCGGACAGCCATGATGTACCTCGCAAGTGGAGAGTACCAAACCCCAGATCGGCATGCACACGGCCTCAGCGACGGATTGAAATGCGACAGCAACTCCACCAGTCGTCACAATGGAGTCCAAAGCAGCAGTCGGTTGAACAGCCCTCTCAAGGGGGAGGTGTTCGGGGGCCAGCCGTCCCTAATAACCGAACAGCACATCATTTGGACGGATGTGTCACGTGCAGGACACGGGCTAAACGAAGGTACGCACTGATTGGTCAGAATGCCAACCAATCCGAGTCAAGCACCTATGACTCGACGCTTCTCGCCTCCTCACGGAGATTCTGGCACGACCTTGTGGAACACACCGTGACTACCTTATAAATACAGTTGTACTAATTTTCCTTTGTCTCCATAAAGGGCTGTGTAGAGTTACCGTGCCTTTTACTATACCATAGTGGGCGGAGCAGGAAGCCAAGGGATCGACACAGAGTTGCACGACCGTACATCAAGACATAACAGAATCACCGTCGAAACGCTTCATTCGTTTTCATTCCATGTGTGTTGGAGTAAGGTTGACAGACTGTCCACAACAGGTTCAGCACCTTGGATAAGCGGAAGATACAAGGACCAGATACTCTGTTATGTTATCGTAATGAAATCTTTGTTATAGACGGAAAACTGGTGACGGCGTTCTATAGAGGTTCATGCGGCATACTTCTAGTTATTGATGGAAAAATTCAAGAAATAATACTGCCATTTTTAGTGGAGAGGAGTTTGGTCATATTTGTTCAGATGCTAGAGCACTAAGAAAAGTCAAGTCCGGAAATCAGCATCGCCAGATTTAGCACTCGTCTTCTATAGTGGATGAAATACTACTAAAGCCATCCCGTTTTCCCTAGATTCTTCTTTTCGATGTAAAACCAGTGAAATTGAAATTAGGAGTATTCAGCTCACTGTCCCTTGCTTGAGTTGCAAAGCAAACGTTGCTCTGAAGACGCAAAATACTAAAGGTACCCTTTCTCAAAATAGCTATGTTTGGATCACCGAACACCCTGCTGGGTATCCAACCCCAAAACTGCATACCAGGATATTAGTGATCTTCAGCACTGTTCGGGTTAGGACGAGACGGTAACAAGCGAGGTGGAGGTCGAAAACATTGTTTTTAGTCGTCTGACTAATCCTCAGCCATACTCAACGGAAACTGAGACAATATGCCTGGAGAAGAGATAGACCCTACCTACGGTACTTAATCAAATCACAGGTTTATTCAAGACAGTTATTGCACCTGTAAGAGTTCAGACGGATCGTTCTACTGCTATCCTGGAAGTCAAGGAAAGGGGGCTGGCAGGAGGAACGCCACCAAAGTCACACAGAGGCCGTCCACTGATTAAAATATGTGGTGAATGCTCTCCACGGTGGACGCAGGGTCGATTATGCCACATACGAGGCACACGTAAGATCATCAGCACAGCCGCGCCATGTGAACCAACTTCAGGCAACAGACTACGGCTCAGTGAGGGGACCACGTGGCATAAGACACCGGACAGCCATGATGTACCTCGCAAGTGGAGAGTACCAAACCCCAGATCGGCATGCACACGGCCTCAGCGACGGATTGAAATGCGACAGCAACTCCACCAGTCGTCACAATGGAGTCCAAAGCAGCAGTCGGTTGAACAGCCCTCTCAAGGGGGAGGTGTTCGGGGGCCAGCCGTCCCTAATAACCGAACAGCACATCATTTGGACGGATGTGTCACGTGCAGGACACGGGCTAAACGAAGGTACGCACTGATTGGTCAGAATGCCAACCAATCCGAGTCAAGCACCTATGACTCGACGCTTCTCGCCTCCTCACGGAGATTCTGGCGCGACCTTGTGGAACACACCGTGACTACCTTATAAATACAGTTGTACTAATTTTCCTTTGTCTCCATAAAGGGCTGTGTAGAGTTACCGTGCCTTTTACTATACCATAGTGGGCGGAGCAGGAAGCCAAGGGA